TATTAAACCCTGCAGTCTTCCTCAAATTTCAAACCGAATCACTGAATAACATATGCGATCATGATAATTATTACTTTCCTCCCCAAAATCTTTAAGCTGTTTTATCCACATGATTCAACACTTTCCTCTATATGGTTTTTTCCTATGTCATTAATTATGGTTATCTTCAAAAACCCAAGAACAAAGAATACTTTTATTCTACTGAATTATTTGCTCGATATTACATTCTTACTCCCAAGTAACAAGTATTTAACATAACACAAGCAAAAGATACCCATACCTACCATCCTAACATTGACTTTCCATGTTTTCTTCTGTTGCCTAAAGTATCTCCACTTGAATATCTTGCTGACACCTGAAATGTAAAATATAAAAACAACATAAATTATATTCTCTACCAGCTCATACTTTTTCAATGTTTCCGTTTCATCTTTTAAGATGTCCTTCACAACATCCTCAAGTTAACCCAGAGCGACTGTTGTTATGTAGAATTCTATATTTTGTTACAGCAGTATGAACAGATTAAGACAAAAATAATAGTCAATCTAATGGCTTAACATTCAAAAATCAAACTATGCAGAAAAAGTCATATAAAAAGCATATCATAAATATTATTCAGTATTTATAATTAATGAGAACAGATTTTACCAAACTGGTAAGAGGGTTTCCTCAATTTACTAAGCACTGACAGAAAATCCACGAAAATTATCATATTTATTGGTTAAAGTCCCAGATCAAGGTGCTGGCAGAGTATGGTATATGGCTAGGAGGGGCCCTTTGCCCAATTGGTGCCCTCTTTTGGTGCTTTGACTTTCTATAGAGCAACTGTTTTTCTATATTATTGTTTTCTGCTTTCATATTTGTGATATATTCCTATTATTGGCTTTAATTTGTGTTTTCCTACCTTCATATGATCGAAGGTTACTCCATTGATTTTTTAGCCTTTAGTCTTTTCTAATATTTTCATGTAATATTGTGAATTTCCCCATGGACACTCCATTTAACAGCTTGTCTAAATTTCGATATGTCATTTCTTTCCTATTATTCAGTACAAAATATTTTTCTAATGTTTACATGATTTATTCTTTAACCCATGGGTTATTTAAAACTGTAATGTTTACTTTATTGGAAGTTGTGAATTTTCTAGTTATCATATAATTATAAAACTGGGTCTTAGTTCAAAAGGAACTCATTTGTTAATACCACTTTCTCTCTGAATCAACAAAAAGTGCCTAAATTTTGCTTTAAAAATGCAAGTACTATGTTTTATTTTCTTCAAAAATTATTTTAATCTGAAAACATTTTGTGGGCTACATTCATGACATTATGACTATATATCACTATCATCTTTCAAAAAAGTAATTTATTGAGACAAAATTCATACAACATAAAATTAACCATTTTAAAATGAATAATACAGTGACATTTACTACATTTACAATGCTACGTAACCACATTCTCTATCTAGTTCCAAAATATTTTCATCACTCACAGAGTAAAATTTTTACACATCGTAATATTATAAAATGTATATTTGGTCTTCATCTCCATTTCCTATCACTCAGCTTCTAAAACCCTTAAACTCTCCTTAGTGATAAGAGTGCCCTTTAAAGGCTAATGAGATGACTGGTGGCTGGGGACCCCTAGGTAATTTCAGTGTAAAGGCTGGTCACAGAAAGACCAATGCATGATTAGAGGGTATGTTCTTCTCCATAAAGTTTGGGGAGGAAAGAAGGGCTGAAAGTTGAGTTCATCAACAGTCGCCAATGGTGTGATTGATCATGCCTATGTAATACTGCCCCCATAAAAACCCAAAAGGACAGGGTTTGAATGAGCTTCTGGATAACTGAACACATGGAAGTACCTAGAGGGTCATGCACCTGTGGGAACTCTGTGCTCCTTCCCACATGCCTTGCCCTATGCATCTCTTCCATCCAGCTGTTCATCTGCATCCTTTATGATATCCTCTGAGATAAATGGGCAAAGGTAAATAAAGTGTTTCCCCAAGTTCTCTAAGCCACGTTAGCAAATTAGTCAAACAGAGGAGGGGCTCATGGGAACTTTCAATTTATAGAAGTACAGGTGACAACCTACTACTCGTGACCGGCATCTAAAATTGGGGCAATCTTGTGGGACGGAGCCTTCGACCTGTGAGATCTGATGCTATTGCCAGGTATAGTGTCAGAATTGAATTGAGTAAGAGGACACCGACCTACTTTCTGCTGGAGATTCTGCTGGAGAATTGCTTCAGTTGGTAATTTTATTCACATATAACATTAGAACATATGGAACATTTGACTCTACCAAAGCATTTTTTAGTTCATATTTTATCATCCTTATAAGTTTCATGTTTTAGGAAAATTTTTACCAAAATCTGGAGAAATGTCTGTCTTTTCAGGCCACAGAGTATTTAATAGATTAATTTTAAGTTAGTAAATGAAATATATGGAATTTTAATGGATGAGCACAAAAAATCAAAGAAGATATGTACAAAGTGCTTCAATTTTTACTCAGACAGTATTTTTGAAGAAATATTACCAATATTGATTTCTCAATTCTCTGCTGGTAAAGGTTCTATCTTTGAATTATTTCAAAAGTCTAGGCAAACTTTGAGACCCTGTTTAGTCTTAAAAGTAATAGATGAAATTGCCCACCAGTCTAGTTTCATGGACAAAGACTTGTCAATGTTTCTTACCCTTAGGTTGAACCATCTGCTCTTTTAGTACCCAAAATGATTATCAGTGAAGAAATCCAAATATGATTATAACTTTTCCTTTTTTATTTGGGGAACTAAAAAGCAAAGCAACTTCTATACTCTAATATCTACTAATACATTGCAGAACAATGAACAAAATAAATTCTTATGATATAGTGCAAGATATAAAGACTAAAAAGAATTTGTATTTGTTCATTTCTTTGTAATAAATCATTTTCTGGGAATGGCACAGTTTAAACCTCGTCATTTTGCTTTCCTAATGAGAATAACGGAGCCCATATGTTCACAGATGAACAAAACATCATGCATGATAAATGGCCAGGAAGGTCCCTTGGCCTCATCTAGAGACTATTGAAGGATTTCTGGACTAGGACATAAGGATACTGATGGCTCAGTATCATAGATCTAAAAAATATAGAGAAAAGATCCTAAAATGAGCATTTAAGTCCAAATCAGGGTTCTTGTCACTCTATTTTGGATCCCTTCCAGTTTATTTTTTCTAGTGACAGAATTATAAAATAACTTAGTTACAGAGATCCTAACAGAAGCTAACTGAAAATGGAAATGGTTAACTCTAAATGTATGTAATTTCGTGATGGTATAGACATATGACAACTGTAGTCTGCCTAAATATCACAACATTTGTTTTTTAGTTTAGTAATATAATTATTAAACATGAAGTAAAATTTATTCAATAGTAAGAATTAAGGTACTTTTAATGTAAA